GTCTATTTAAATAGCTAAGACCCTTACTGCTGACATTCTTCACATTAAGTTTTGTTGTTAAGGTTTGTTGTTCTCCATCTGCCTATTGATTGGGTCCCCCTGACTTTGGCAGCTGTGTATGTTGCCGCCCCCCCCCCCCCCAAATCCCATGGGGGCTCACATTTATTGGTGGTTTTAAATGAAGCATTTGACATTGGGATCCTCTCGCCCTCTATGCGTGAAGCCCTCATAGTTTTGATTTTGAAACCTGGTAAGGACCCTACTAACTGCGATTCATATTGCTCTGTATCCCTGATTAATGTAGATGCCAGGTTTTTGGAAAAAATCCTGGTTATGCGTAATAATAAATATATTTAATCTCTAATCAATAGCGATCAGGCAGGTTTTATGCCGGGCCGCTTCACCAAGATGAACATACGTAGATTATTTACTAAGCTCCAGTTCTCACATACCACTGTAGAGGGTCGGACTCTGGTCTCCCTTGATACACATAAGGCTTTTGATAGAGTGGAATGGCTGTATTTGTTGGCAGGTATTACATCTTTTTGGTTTTGGTCCTCATATGATCCAATGGGTTAGGATTATCTACAACTCCCTAGTGGCTAGGCTACAGGTCAATAAGGATGTTTCTCCTCCCTTTTGTATTTCTAGGGGGACTAGACAGGGTTGTCCCCTTTGGCCAATCCTATTTGCTCTGGCAATTGAACCGCTGGCAGCCTGGATACTGGAATCCACTTCGTTGTGTGGCCTGGCAGTGCTTGACGTAGAGGAGCGTATATCCTTGTATGCTAATGATACACTGATTTATCTATCTGACCCTAATCGCTCCCTGGCTCACCTTCACTAGCTGGAGGAATATGGTTACTACTCTGGCTTCAAAGGTAATGGGGACAAGTCTGTTCATTTTCCCTTGGATGCAAATACGATTGCTTATATACATCCCATGTCCAAATTGAGAGTGGCACATGAATTTAACTATTTGGGTGTCAGGGTTCAGCTTCCCCTTTCCTCTTATATTGAGAACAATTTAGTCCCCGTGATCGACGAAACAGTGGTGGGATTTGCCTTTGGACATTATGGGAAGGGTCAATATTATTAAAATGATTCCCGTAAAAGTATTTCCGTAAAATTAACTCTATACGTATATCATTTCTATGGCAGGGGCGTAGTCCTAGAGGGTGTCTGGAGGTGTTCAAGCTTCCTTGTTCTCTGGCCGGTTTGGCCTTTCCTAATTTTCAAGTATACTATCTGGCCACTCAGTTAGTGGTGGTTCACGATTGGCTGATCCCTCATATGGGAAATGCCTGCATGGCATCTGAAGCTGCCATACTTACCTCTTTTGAATCTCTCCAAAATGCTATATATAGAGCGATTTCCAGTTCGCATTCAGGTACTGCTCTTATTTCTGTGACGCTATCTATACTTAGGTTATCAATTGGCTTTCTGTAGATGCCTGGTCCCATTCCCCCTACTCCTCTCCATGGGATTCCTTCTTTCCTGGAATTACTGCATCTTCCATCAGCTACCTTTTTTGTCCTCGATGGGAGTCAAATCGCTGACTCATTTATTTAGGAATGGACTCCTGCTCAACTTTTTGCAACTCGGAGAGGAGCTGCAGCTCTCTCTTGCTGCCTTTTTGGCATATTTCTAATTGCTGCATGTGGTCCGTTTTGGGTCGACTTCTTTAATTCTGGTCCAGTCTCCTCTTGAACAATTGTTACGCAGGGACATTTACTGTAAATTGATTTCCACATATTATGCAGAGCTCATGGCCACTAGATCTTCTAGATTTGATAAACGTAAAAATAAGTGGCAGGCTCTCATCCCGGACCTGGACCTAGATGAGTGGAATGATTTTTGAAGACTCATATCTTCAGAAAAAAATCTCTTCTACTGTCGTGGTAAACAACTGGCTTTCCTATTTATAAGCAATTTCAGTGCGAAATTATAGCTAATTATAGCTAATTTGCCTACAAACGACCGGTTGTCATAATAATCTGGCCACTCCGTGTATGTCCTCTGTGATAGCTTCCAGAAATAGAATTTTGCAAATTAAGTTTTTCTACCAGGTCTACTATATCCCTTCACTTTTGTGTACTTTTGGTCTCCACATTGCTTTAAGCGCATGGCCAGAGGGCAGATTTCTTTCACTCCTTTTGGTCTCGCCCACAAATATGTACCTTCTGGTCTGAAGTTAACTCTTTTTCTGGAGACTTGTTTGGGTCTCCCAAATATATGTAATCCCTCCTTTTGCCTATTGGGAATGTTTGGTGAGCTAGCGTTGGATTCTGGGGCTCAGAACCTTATTCGTATCCTCCTGTTTTATGCCAAGAAATCCATTCTTCTAGTGTGGAGTAGCCCTGAGGCTCCTTCTCTGAGTTGCTGTGCTGGAAGCATATAATTGAACCTTCTTTACAAACTTACTTATGAATAGCGGGGCAATCCACAGCACTTTGATCACATCTGGGGTCCATGGTTGTCCTTTTATTGCCAAGGCTGTTGATCCTTCCTGAGTTGTCTTGGACATAGTGTCAATGTGTTATTGTATTCCTTGCTGATCCTATTATATGTACTGGAGACAATGCTATATTTATTTTACTATCCTTGTGTACCAAGACTGTAATCTTAGTTATATATGTTTGATTTCTGTTTTTTGTTTGTTGATTTAGTTCTTTTTCTGTTTTTTATTTTATAAAATCTTTCTATAAAAAACATCTTTATAAAAAAAAAGCAAAACAAATATATTTTCTATAGCGGGATGGTGTGGTAGAGGTTGACTGCGTAACCATCGATGGTCTTTGGGGTAGAAAAAGTCTGAGCCCCAAAGCCCAATATCCTTAGTACCCTATTTTAAGCTAGGATGAACTGATTGCTTCTGTCTAAACGATTCATCATAAGAGAACCAGGCAATTCCATTGAAATTCTTATAACCTTCTAAAATTATTTCAATATGTTGAAACAAACCGATGCTCTTTTCAGGGAATTTTTCACAAATTTCACTAGAATATATGCAAAAAGCCTTTAACTAATTGTTAAAAGTTATGTCAACCGGCCGACATCTATCTTCTTCAGCTCTATCACCCTTCTTATCATTCCTAGAAATAAATTATTTGGAGGAAGGAAGAAGTGGTAATAAATCAATAAAACCTCCCTGCAAATTCTGGATATCAGGAGACTCCTCTCTTCTTCTGCATCTGGAAACTGGAAAGCTGTGTCCAATATGGGAACTAGGTGGCTTGCTGGCGTCCCATGCTCTGTTGTGAACTGTCCCCAAAGGCTGGGTTGACAGCGCAGCTGGTTGTCCTGGCGACTGGTCCGGCTTCACATTTGGCAGCCCAGTAATTGGGACTTGCCCATCTACCGTTCTGCTCCACCTGGCACTGCCCCCTCCAGCTGTGGCCCCCCTCCTCTTGGCTCCCACAATACTTGTTGTCTCAGGGGAGAAGAAGGAGACACTCGTCGGGGCAGTGAAGGAATGTATACCCGACTCTGCTTCCTCCACATTTTGGAAGGAGAGACTCCCATTGCTCTGTCTCCAGACACTCCCCACTGCTGACCAGGAAAATCTTCTGCCGGCGCCTCCTCTGCCTGCTGCTGGGCTTCAGTATGATGCAGTTCCGCTTGGCCATGCTCCTTCCTCTTCCCACAGCAGTCCTCCGTAGGCTCCCTGCGCGAATCTGCAGAAGAGGACTGAGTCCCGGCGGCAGCTTGACCCGACGACTGATGTAAGGAAAGGCATCTCACTCGCCTCCCCCTTCTTCCCCAGCTCTCTCCAGCAATTGACGAATGAGGGTCTTCATGTTGGCTTAGAGAAAACCCTTGTGAGCTCCATTATTATTGCTCAGTATTATACCTCTGGAGGCTCTTTCCCAACTGGCAACCCTAACAGCCAAGAGCCCCTTCTTATAAACCCTTTGACCCTTCTGGAATTTTCCAAGGGGTCAGCTGATCGCCTTCTAGAAAACTCCAAGGGGTCAGCTGATGGAAACCATCCCCCACAATGAGCAATTGAAACAGCTGGCAGAGAAAAAAGGGGGGTCCAAGAAACTGCGAGCTGTCGCAATCTCTTGGGGGATGGGGGCCTTAAAAAAAAGGTTCTCCCCTTTCCATTTATTCTTCCAGAAACATAAGATGTTGTGTCTCCATCACATATATACAGAGCCACATGTATACGGAGACACAGACACATGTGCTAAAAAAAAAAAAAAAAGCGCATGTGTCTGTGTGTCCCTTCTGAAGCAGGGGCAGCCATATCTGCTTGTTACATTTGCAAATTCTGGTTCCTGCTTTATATTCTTTACACAATGCTTACTATTCCTTACATACAATGCCAAGTCTATGAGTCAGCCAACTCAATGTAAACAATGTACTCCCTCTCTGGCAGATGTCTAACTGGTCAAAACAAATGTAATTAGAGTGATTTGTATACTGAACGTTTACTAGTGACTGAACTAGATACTGCTTTATTTTAAAAGATACTGTCATAAGAGGTAATAGAGGCTGCCATTACTGAAACTTCCTTTGAGACTTCTAGTACCTTGCTGTTATTTTGATGCCTTGACTGTACTGCTGTTGCTGACCCTGAAGTATAGAGTTAAGTAGTTATGACACTTTTCTGACGCTCATTTACTGCATGTTTGTTCAAGTACTGTAGCTGAAAATTTCTGAAATCAGATACAGGCAATCATGTAGCATTTTAAAAAGAAGGCCTTACAATGACAGTCCCTCAATACTTATTTCATGACAGAAGTATTGCAGAAAATGTAAATCACGTTAAAAATCACTTTAGGGTAAACACCACAATAACTCAAATGATGTGCTCACCAAAAAGAATTAAAATTTTTGATGAAAACTTTTTTCTTTTACTGTTCCTCTATGTTCTTCTTAGTAGCTGCTGTTTGATATAAACGTGCATGGTTTTTCCAGTGTATTTGCACATATGTTCTTTTTTTCTTTTCTTTTAATTCACATCTTTGCCATGTTTTTTTGTGTTTTGTCAGGCGAGATAAGCTTTGGATTTGCATGGAGTTCTGTGGAGGAGGCTCTTTACAAGATATATACCATGGTAAGAAAAATATACGATAACCACTTTGTTTCCGTAGCAATGTTTACATTTTTGTAGACGTGTTAAAATCTGAATGTTTGGCTAGAAAACTGCTTAAAACCCCCAAACAATTATATATTTTGTGAAAGCAGAGGCCCTGTAGAATAAATTAAAAAAAATGCTAGTTGTAATTTTTTTCAAGTCACACGATATTTGTGCAAATGTTTATGAAAACAATATTATTAGGAAAAAGTACACAACAGGGGTGTGGAAATTAAAACAAAAACCTACCTGTCCAAGGATTAAAGAGGGGACCCAATCTACTTGTCCCTCATGACAATCTACTTGTCCTGATACAATAAATAATTTTAACCAAAACCCTCTTTAACCATGCAAAGAAGCGCTTCTCATTGGTCGGCATGGTCACCTGACCACGCTGACCAACGAGTGGTTGCAATTTGCGAGCAAAATTAAAAATATTTTTTAATTTTATGGGGTACAGATAGTACACACGTACTGGCGGAGGGTAAGGACCCGAAAGGTAAGTATAGTGCTGGGGGTGGGAATGTGGGGAGTGGGGGAGAGAGGGCCAAATTTGAGCGGATAAGTCCATTTTCCCAAACCACATGGGAAAGTGAACTTACCTTTTAATGCGCATTGTGTGTCTTAGAGAGCACTGCTTATTCACATGCAGATGACTGCAGGGCCAAGGTTGGTTTTATTTTATTTTTTCTTTTATTGTTTTACTTTATCACTTCATTACTTTACTTTATCACTTCATTTTTAAATTTGTATTTAATTTTTTTGTACTGTTTTTTATAATTTTTTTTAATTTTATTAATGTTCTTCTGAACAATGCTCTGTGCAGAGAATTAATTAATAAACTCTCTCCCCCATGAGAACCAGCAGTTAACACTTAGCACGATTGCTGGTTCTCAGTCTACTCTTGGTTATAATGATCTCGAACCAATCTTTCCAATTATGTGATCACATGTAGGCTAAAGCCTCCACTGACAAAAATTAAGACCTTTTGCCTGCAGATGAACACTTTGGTGCTATCTTTTGATATTGTAACTGTCAGAATCGGTTTCATTATTGGAAATTAGAATTAAATAAAAATAGTTTAAAGTGTATCTATTATTTTTTATGCTTATTTGTCAGCCTGTTATAAAGTAAAAGCAGGATTTGTTTTTTTGTTATAAATATTTGCTGGCTATCATGTACCTGGTGAGAGGTAAATTTGTTACAGAAATTAACATTTTTGACTACCTATCTAGGATAGAAAGTGAAAAGAAAAATCTCCCCAAAAGGCTGAATTTGCACCACGCTTGTTGCATTCTGCGCACCTCGACACAAGCTAAATGCGCGTCAGTTGATTTGAGTGCAATAATATGATTGTGTATTATTGTGTATTTTGTTTGGTTCACAGCTGGGGCCAAAATACTTTACTCTTTTCATAATGCACATTGCAGCTCTTTGTAATGTGTTGTTACACGTAGTAGTGTAGTGCACTATATTTAAATGTACCATGTTTTATTGTCACACAGTGCATACCAATGCATCATGGAGGTGTGAATTGGACTTATAAAAAACAATTGATTTCAGCTTGTCATTACCTTGGACCTGCATTGAGAAATGTAGCCCAACACACTTGAAGTGAATAGGCCCTTCAGGATTCCCTACTCTATCCAAAACTGAAAGTTTTGGCTTTAGATATACTTTGTCTAAAAGTGTTCAAGCTACCAGCAAGGTTTCATACAATAGGGGCTTGATTGGACCAGATAATCACTTCAGTCAAGTTTTCCTTTTGCTTAACAATTAGAGAGATTCTAAAATTAGAGTTTCCTCCTATCAGGAGGAATAGTGTAGAGCAGGCCTCAAAATTTCCACTCGCCCCATCGCAATTGGCGAGTTAAAATTGCGGGGGAGGGGGTGGGGGAGTGGAATGTCAGCGATGGGGTGCACTGCCGGCGGGACCAGGGATGGGACACTATCGCCGCGGCGATCGCTCGCTTATGTTTTCTGTCTTTCTTGGCTGCTGCAGATACAGAGCGGCCGAGAAGAAGAGAGAACTGAAGCGAACGATCACCGCGGCAGTAGTGTCCCATCCAGAGCCGGCACTAGCTCTCTGCGCTCTCTCTCCTCCCGGGCCGCTGCAGCTTCAGCTCCACGTAGCGGGCACTCAGAGAGTTGGCTCTGATCGCACCTGTCAGCGCTCCCTCTCTCTCCTCCCAGCCGCTCTGAAGCTGCAGCGGTTGGGAGGAGAGAGAGGGAGCGCTGACAGGTGCGATCAGAGCCAACTCTCTGAGTGCCCGCTACGTGGAGCTGAAGCTGCAGCGGCCAGGAGGAGAGAGAGGGATCGCTCAGCGGTATGATCAGAGCATTATTAAAGAGTGCGTCATACCCTGACTTCTGTACTGTGCGTCATACCCTGACTTCTGTACTGTGCGTCATACCCTGACTTCTGTACTGTGCGTCATACCCTGACTTCTGTACTGTGCGTCACACCCTGACCTCTGTACTGTGCGTCACACCCTGACCTCTGCACTGTGCGTCACATTGCTGACTTCTGCACTGCGGGTCACATTGCTGACTTCTGCACTGCGGGTCACATTGCTGACCGGTGTACTGTGCGTCACACAGCTGGCCTCTGTATTCTGCATTGCACCACTGACTTCTGTACTGTGCGTTGTTACTGATCTTTGTACTCTGCGTCACACCGCTGACCTGGCGAAGTTAAGGCTGGGGCAACTGGTGGCGAGTAACTTTTAAGGTCTGGCTAGTAGCTTAGGACTTGAAATTTTGAGCCTTGGTGTAGAGTATAAAAAAAATACCACCAGGCCTGTACTCCTTACATTACTTTTTTAAATTAAAGATCTCCCTTTAGGATCCAGATATTAGTAAGGATGATGTGGATTATATTTATGTAGTAATATTACCTCTGATGATTTATTTTTTCTAAGAGATGATAGTAAAGTAGGTGGAAAACAAAATTGGAAGTGTTTGAAGGAAGAAAGATGGGTTTCTTGTAATCGAACACCATCTGGAGTATATATTTTTTAAAACTCATTATTGAATTAATCATATTTTTTGCCATTGTGTGTAAGCTGGGTATATTGGATAAAGTGAGAAAGAGAAGAGAAAAAATAATGGGAGCAATGACAACCGAAGTCTAAGCAGGGACCATTTTTTTGGCGATTTGAGGATTTTCTTGGATTGCATTCCCAAGTTCTTATTAGAGAGTATCATTTCCATTTTAAATTGCCAGATTTATAAGCAGACTCTTTCTGGGTGTTTTGTGCAATTTAAGATTAGCATTCTCTAAGGTTTTTAGCAGGCCAAGACCTCAAAATAAGTCTTGGCTGTTATTTGGGTTCAAGACCCCTTCTTTAATAGATAGAGTTTGAAGATGAAACCCATACCTGTATGCAATCCAATTTTTGTGTTAGCATTGTAACTAGGCACAATATGCTGCATTTCATCAGTAAAATTGTAGACCGATCATTTAAATGTTGTAGGTAATAGTCTTAAAGTATGGGAAGCGAAGTATTGGTGACAGTGACCTTCTTCTCCATTGATTACTTCAGTGCATTTCAGCATGAAATAGTTTAATGTGCTGACAGTAATAGACATAGAATAACACAAATGTGGAGAACATCCTGCTTGCTGTCCTCTGTCTTAATCTCCAAGTTGCAATTTAGAAGGGATCTATGACCTAACCTTTAGTTCTCTTCAGGGTCATAGTAGACCATACATTAATGTCCTCCAGTGACCCAAAACTCAGTATATAGCAGGCTATTTAATGTACTTAAAGTGAAGGAAATCTGGAGTCACTAAAGGTGGCCATACACTGTACAACCCTCGCAAGACTTTTGTCTTGCGTGGGTTGTAAAGTAATTAAAAAAACGTACGATCTGCCCATCTTGGACAGGCATATCGTACTTGCGATCATCGCAAGCCCGCCCCGCTGACGGGCGGGCTTCTGATGACTGCAATGCTGAACGGGCAGTGTGCAGTTGTCGAATAAGCACGCCACTAACCCGCCGAGAATCATAGGATTCTCGGCGGGTTTTCCAGCCTGCTTGTTCGACGGGAGACGTGCGATCGTACAGTAGAAACAGTCACACGCCTTCCATATACTTTGCAATTATCGTACGATCGCGGGATTTCCCGCGATTCTCGTACGATAATCGCACAGTGTATGGGCACCTTTAGAAGAAAAATGAATACATACATTATGTAAATAAGTAATTAATAAAAGCAAACCTGAACACTACTATGATTACCAATACCCAATACATAATTTCCAAACCTATAGTGTTAAAATAGCTGCATTTTAAAATATTTTTTTACATTGAAAAAAACTGTTTTACTTACCGTATTTGCCGGCGTATAAGACGGGGTTTGAGTCCCAAAAAAATCGCCCGAAAATCGGGGGTCGTCTTATACGCCGGGTATACTTCGGTATACTGTATGTAGCTTCGGCTACATACAGTATAACGCGCTGAGCCAATCACGGCAGGGCTTGTATTCTTTAATACAAAGACTGTGTTTACTGA